CAATTGAGTCTATATAAAAGGTAGGATAGAAACAGATATTCATCTTACTCTAGTAGTAACGTGAGACATTTAAAGGAATGAGACCAAGCTCTGATGAGGTCCATCATATGATGGACGAAAGCTCAGCCCGTTTTCACCCGAAACAAGGGAGGAGGTCTCGTGGACTGCGTCAACATGAACAACGTATAAAAGCCAAACGGCTAAAGCACAACGGGATTCATCCGTCCTCTTCTGGTGAGATCGACCTTCGAATCTCTTCTTTATGTACTTTCATACGAAATGATAGTCCCCCCCCTCAATATACTAACTCAGAGTATACATATGACCCTCTATAAAAGTGGCTATGTTAAACAGCAAACTGCTTTTTTACGCTCCAATTTACTTTCTAACCAAAGCTATGCTTGTCACTCTGATTAAACAAAATGCAATGATTTGAAGCATTCGTATATAACGGACTACAAATCGGGGCAACAAAATTACGACTGCGTAAAGTTTTAGTTGAAAAGCTTGTCATGACTAGCTATGGCGTAGATGATTAAGATTAGAATGCAGAAATATAAGCGAGACATTTTCAACTGTTTAGGAAATTAAACAAGATTTCCCAGGGAAAATGTTTTTAGATCTGATTGGTCAATGAGCAAACTAGAAGGCGGGAGTGCAGAAATCGATTATGCTGGCATTAAAAAATAAAAGAAATCTATATTGTAGTACAATGTAGACGAGAGACTGAGTCCTTACCTATTAGCTGCAATACTACAGCCCTAGTGTAATTTAAATAGATGTATAATATTCAGAATTATGTATAGCGTGAGCTGCTATGGCAAACTCTGGTTAAGAAAAAGTTTATAAGTTTCAATAAATAAACCTTTTATACAACTGAGGCTATTAGGATAAACTAACAAGAAAAATATTGAAAAAATAAATTATTGTATTTAAAAGAGGGTGTAATTTCTGAGGTAAGTTTTACTTTGAAATGCATCCAGAAGATCTTTCTCATCCAGAGTGGTGTGAAGTTCCGTCAGAGTTCAGGTTTCATTACCAGTTTGTCAAAGATCAAGCTCTTGTTGGCTGGGAAATAGGTATTACTTACCACAAATCCATTAGAATATCGAATTTGATAGCCATATATATGAGTTGTATTCATCCTAATTCGTTTAAGGTAATGAAGGAATAGTAATTAAAATTTCCCACAATGTTAAGAGTAGGCCTCATGTTTTCAGTGAATTTCATATAGCCTTGCTTTCCAAAATGAATTATAATCGAGGGCGAACTGCAGTTTTGCCCCGCCTAGGTCTCATCAGCACCCCCAAAGGGATTAATAGTCTCAAAAAACTACTTAAAAACAAAAATAAGTAACATAGTCCATTGCTAATGTAAGCACAATTTTGTTTTGTCGACAATTCCACCAAAGAAATGTAACATATGTAAGGCCTAGGCTTCCTCAAAACTAAAATCTGCCCGGTGACCCAAGGGCACTCATGGCAATGTGGGGTAGTGGTTAACCTGCCGGGACTATACGCTGCAATGTCATCGTTAGTCCCACTGGAGTTGCTGATGAAAGCTAAGCGAGGTTTAAACTGCTGCCCATCCTGAATGAGAATATCTTCTAAGAAGACAGGATAAGTGGATTCAATGGAAACGTAAGGCCTCTTCATAACGTTGTAGAAACCACTATGCCTCCATCATCTAAACAAAATAGGATGAATGCATCCTATATATATATATATATATATATA